CCCTCACAACGTTTAACCTTGAGCCAAAATGGCTACGGACTCCTCCTCCTCCTCCTCCTCCTCCTCTTCCTCCCCCTCCTTGTCCTCGTCCTCGTCCTCGTCCTCGTCCTCGTCCTCCTCCTCCTCCTCCCCCTCCTCCTCCTCCTCCTCCTCCTCCCTCCTCCTCCCTCTCCTCCTCTCCTCGTCCTCGTCCTCGGTCCTCATCGTCATTGTCATCCTCCTCCTCCTCCACCTCGTCATCCTCTCCCTCCCTCCTCCTCCCTCCCTCCTCATCCTCCTCCTCCTCCTCCTCCTCCTCCTCTCCTCCTCCTCCTCCCTCCTCCTCCTCCTCCTCCCTCCTCCTCCTCTCCTCCTCCTCCTCCTCCTCCTCCTCCTCCTCCTCCTCCTCCTCCTCCTCCTCCTCCTCCTCCTCCTCCTCCTCTCTCACACACACACACTTCCTCCGCCTACCCTGTCACGTTGTCCTTTAGCTCCTTCCTGTGATCACACATCCCGTCGCCATCGACGGCCAAAACCTTCAGGGTCGGCGGCACGGGCCGCAAGGCCTTCACATTAGTCAATGGTCAGTGGGCTCCGCAGATGACATGGGGAAGAAGGGATAGTGCCGCCAAGCATACACTAAGGTAACACTGAAGGGAGGAGGCGGGCAAGCCGGCCAACGCACGGGCCCGCGCCGCAGGCTCGCTCCTTTTCCGTTTGCCTAGAACCAAAGTAGTATAGCTGCGGAAACAAGAGTAGTCAGTCAGTACGACAGGCAGTGCGCTCAAGTACGAGACCTATGTTGCTTCACATCACCAAATTGGCCCCTGCTGCCTTTTTTCAAAATAATATATTGGGATGAATCGCTGCCGCTGTATATATCGAGCACAGTTGATCACAACACAAACGCTCCTGCGAGACCCCGCCAAAATGGCAAGAAATGGTAAGCTCAGATCCGCATGGCTACATTGCAACCGAACCGCTTGACCACCATCTCGACCGAACTGGCGGAATTCGACCACGCGTCCGACAAAATGCGTTCGACGAGGGATGCGCTGCACAATGCCCCGGCCACGGGCAGCGCTACGAGGGAAAGCAAACCCTTCGAGGTGTCACTTTCAGCGCCCGTGAAAGTGACACCTCCCAGGGCCCACTTAAAGAGCACCAGAAAGGCTCCAAGAAGGCCCAGAGAAGGCCCCAGGGCGGCACCAAGAGGGCTCCCAGAGGGACCCAAGAGATGCCCCAAGAGGGGCCCAAGAGGGCCCTCCGCGGTGTCACTTTCGACGCCCGTGAAAATGACACCTCCCAGGGCCCGCTTAGGGCCTCAGAAAGCTCTAAGAAGGCCCCGAAAGGGCCACAGAGAGCCGCCCTGGGTTCAACTCTGCGTAGCGGAGTTGGAAGCGATAACTTCAATACCCTACTGGAGGCCTCTTAGGGGCCTTAAGACGGCACTGAAGAACCCCATGGGGGCTTTTTCAAAGGCAGAGGAGGGCGCAAAAAGGGGCCTCAGTGAGCCCCTGGTCTAACTCCACCTGGCGGAATTGGAAGCGATATCGCCCGGCGCCTTCATGGAGCCGCTCGGAGCTTCCAAGACGGCTCCAGAAGGCCCCAGGAGGGCCCCAAGAGGATCGAACGACGATTCCTGGAAGTGCACCAGTGAGACCCTTGTTGACCTCCGCCTGGCGGAGTTGGAAGCGACAATTTCCAGTGCCCTCTTGGGGCCTCTGGGGGGCCCCTCAGAAAGCTTTGGGGAGCACAGTGAAGGCCTTCGCAGGGCCGCGTGAGAGCCGTACCAGGGCCGCATGTGTGCGCGGATGGGGGCGACGAGTGCTGACGCTGACGAATATGAGAATGATGAGGGCGATCAAGGCTGGCCCGAAACAAATCCTGGCGCCATTGCAGGCCGCCGATTATCGGCCACGCCGCCAGGACGACGCCAAGCAACAAAACGACACCAACCAACAAAACGACACCAACCAACAAACCAACAAATCGACACCGACCAACAAAAGGACACCAAGCAACAAAACGACACCAAGCAACAAAACGACACCAACCAACGAAACGACACCAACAAAACGGCACGAATCAACAAAACGGCACTGACCAACCAAACGACAAATCACTTCACGACACCAATGAACAACGCGAAATCCACCGACCGCCAACCAAACATAAAATCAACCGACACAACGAAACCAACCCATAGAGCCAGACCAACCACTGGATTCGTGAGTCGGGGTAGTCATGGAAGTGAGCCGCTGCAGCCCGCGGAAACCATTAACAGTGACCAGAACACCGCAATGCAGCAGCGTCCCCGGGCGGCGCCGGGAGTCTCGGATCTCCCGCGGGACTGGAGCGTAGCGAGTTCGTCCTGGGTCCGGTTTAGTGAAGTGAAGAATTTCGGGGTGCTTGACATGGCAAAAACCTTCACTTCACTTATCTGGGGCCCCTGGAGCCCCAGGGCGTTTCAGGTCCCCTCGCTGTCTGGGTAGTCCAGGGGGCGCAGTGGCGGCTTACCAGAGGCCCTGTTCCCTAGCCTCACTTGCTTTCACCCGTGGTGCTCGACGGCCGTCTCGGAGCTGTCTTGTGGCGGTCAGGGGCAATCCCGAAGCCTCTTGGAGCCATCCCAAGGCCCCAATGCGCCACCAAGGGGGCCCCAAGAGAGCTCCCAGAGGGCCCCGAAAGGCCTACAACAGATTGCACGTTCGCGCGAATTCTTTGTACCACTTTGGGGGGTCCCTCTTTGGGCCCTCGGGGAACGTTCTTGGGGCCCTCCGGGGGCCCACTGGGGCCCCGGGAAGGCCCCAAGAACGCTCCCAGAGGGCCCGAAGAATGCTCCAAGAGGGCCCCAAGAGGACCCCCACAAGTGACAAAAACTATTTGCATGACGGTGCAACTTATTCGGCGCCTCTTGGGGCGCTCTTGGAGCCGTGCTGGGCGCCACTCGTGGACGACATGGGCTGGGCGACGGCATGTGGATGTCGCTTGGGCCATCGGGGGTGCTCCCCAATGGGGCCACGAAGCGTGTGAGCGTATGACGGAATGGGCTGGGCGGCGGCCTGTGGGCCCTGCCTGTGGGGCCGTCGGTGCAGCTCCCCGTGGGGCCACGAAACGTGTGAAACGTATGCCGAAATATGCTGGGCGGCGGCCTGGGAAACCTGCCGCTGGGACCTTTTTTTGGTGGAACTGCCTATGGGGGCACGAAATGTTTGAGGGTGTGTCAATGTGGCCTGGGCGACGGCATGTGGACCTTGCCGCCGGGACCTCCGATGAACTCCTCATGGGGACACGAAGCGTCTGAGGGGCGTGCCGACATGGGCTGGGCGGCGCACTAAGGACCCTGCCGGTGGGGCCTTCGGTGGAGCACCTCACAAGGCCACGAGACTTGCAGGGGATGTGGCGAAGCAGAGACGCGGGGGAACAAGGGGGTGTTTTGATGATGTTGATGAGGATGGTGGTGGTATTGATGATGGAGACGACGATAATGCTGATGATGCTGATGATGATGGTGATGGCGACGATGACGATGGACGATGACGACGGGGACACGCGGAGAGCAGGGGCAGATACGCGAAGAGGGAGGACGAGGGAGGAGGCCGGAAGGAATGACGCGGGGCGGTGTCTTTTCAAAACTCAGAACCAACACTGCAATATGGTAAGAAATTTCTGGACGACCCCCCCCCCCGTGGCGCGGTCAATGTCCGCGACAGCATCGCTGGCACTACGAACGAAATGTTCGAACTCTTCCTGCGACGTTACCCGCGGGGTGGATCTGCCAGGGATGGGGGTCGAAACCGCCCCAGCGCAAAGCAAATGCACAATCCTGGGAAAGCCCAACCCACATCAACCGATCCGCAACAAGCACACAAACTTTTTGACGACCCCAACGCACGTGACATCGCATAACGCGACGCGCCATCGAAAACGTTCGACGCGCGGCCTCGGAATGACATCGGGCTTCATGGAACGTCTAATGGAAAACATGAAAAACCGCCCTGCGGGCTCCGAAACCCAAAATTAGTGATGTGAAAGATTTCGGGTCTCGGATCAAGGAGAGATAGAGAGAGAGAGAGAGAAAGAGAGCAGGCAGGCAGGGCGAAATATGGGTGGTGCGGAAGGGCTGCATTGACTAAATGGCATGGATACATTAGCAATCGCTGACCCGGCGTGCCGGGAGGATGTTTGGGCGCCGCGACCGTTCCAGAGTGCACCAGCACGCTCTCAGAACCCTTCGTCCTCGTCCTGGGCCTGCCTGACACCCGTCTCTGCGGCCTCGCGCCTCCCCCGCCGACAGAGACGAGCAGCCCTTCGGCCCCCGGGCCGAAGGGCGCGGCTACCTTCGCGCCTCCAGCGGGTTTCCCTGAGGAGGCCCGCGCACCTCGCCCGTCCCTCGTGAACGTGAGGGGCGGAAAAACGAACTTGTGTTGTGCGCCCCCCTCGGAAGCGCCCATCCGACCAGCGCGCGATGCTGATATCCAATCGCGCCCGCCGCGGTGCCCATCCTACGCGACGTGTCACTGTGCGCGTCGCCCGTGCGGGAGCGACGCACATGACCGGTTCCCGAAGGCCTGAACCTCCAGACATGCAATGTCTTAGGGGGGGGGCGATTTCTGTTTCCGCCGGGTTTCCGCTGGCGAAGCCACCCATGTTCTGCTGCCGCCGCCTTCCGCCGAGAAAAAGATGCCAACTCCCTTGGGCCCTCGAAGGCGAGGCCCCTTCTGGAGACTACGCCCGAGCCAGAGCCCGATCCCTGGAAGAATGCCCGAGCCTGGCTTGGCGGCGCTCACACGGGGGTGGCGCGAGGGGGCTGGGCTTCCAAAAAGCGGCGGGGTTTCTGAGAAGGCATGGGGCTTCAAAGCCACCCAGCTTGCAAGAAGGCTTCTCGGCAGCCTCCTGGACCTTCTAAAAGGGCCCCTGCCTTCAAAGAAACCCTCCGCGAGCTTAGAAGGCCGCCCCAATCGCGCCACGCCCTTGTGGGCGCCGCCAACCGACCGAAGATTACATGCCCCGCTCGCCAGCGCGCCGACGCCGAACATGGCCCGGCACATTGGCACCACGGCGCCCGCCAGCGTTCGCCCCATGGCGCATCGGCGGCGCGAGTCGACGGATGACGGCGATGAGGGCCCTCGCCGACTCGCGCCGCCCCCCCCTTGCGGGGGCAGCCGCCGCCGCTGGCGAGGAAGGCAAAAAAGACAAGGCCTCTGCCTACTTGCCCCCCCTCTCGTCCTCCTCCTCCTCCTCCTCCTCCTCCTCCGCCTTCTTCTCTGCCTCCTCCTCCTCCTCCTCCTCCTCCTCCTCCTCCTCCTCCTCCTCCTCCTCCTCCGACTCCTCCTCCTCCGCCTCCGCCTCCGCCGCCTCCTCCGCCTCCTCCGCATCCGCCTCCTCCCCCTCCTCCTCCTCCTCCTCCTCCTCCTCCTCCTCCTCCTCCTCTTCATACGGTTGTCTTCCAACCAGGCAGGTCATTGAGTAGAAATGAACCGTTGTAGGGGCCTACGAGGAGGGAGCTTGGGGGGAGTGTTATTCCAACATCGTGGGTGACTCTAGGGTTTGCATTGGTGCTCTTCCTCCTCCTCCTCCTCCTCCTCCCTCCTCCTGTCTCCTCCTGTCTCCTCCTCCCTCCTCCTTCCACCTCCTCCTCCTTCCTCCTCCTCCTCCTCCTCTTCCTCTTCCTCCTCCCGCCTCCTCCTTCTCCTCCTCCTCCTCCACCTCTTTTTTCTGCATATCATTCTTTTTGATCAGATTAATACCCGTTGCTGTATGAATATCAGCATTCCAATTGTCATTACGACTCGTGCCATCAGTATTGTGCGTAATATCATTCGTATTTTGTCGTAGTCGTATTATCAATCTGAATAAAATGCGAGTAATCTGAATACGACTACGTAGCACCCCGCAATTGCGGATAAGTGTGAGGGGGCGGGCGCGGGCGACGCGGGCGTCGTCGAGCCGGCGGACCTCGTGGCCCCCACCTTCCCTGTCGATGGCGCTCTCCTCCTCCTCCTCCTCCTCCTCTTCCTCGTCCTCGTCCTCGTCCTCATCGTCATCGTCATCCTCCTCCTCCTCCACCTCGTCCTCCTCCTCTTCTTCATCGTCGTCCCTCTCCCCCCCTCGTCCTTTCATCATCGTCCTCCCATTGTCGTCCTCCCCCTCATCGGCCTACATCGTCCTCCCACTGTCGTCCATTATCATCCTCCTCCCCCTCCTCCCCCCTCCTTCCCCTCCTCCCCCTCCTCGTCCTCCTCCTCCCCCTCCTCCCCCTCCTCCCCCTCCTCGTCCTCCTGCTCCTCCTCCTCTTTCTCCACATTCTCCTTACGTCCTCTCTTCTTCCGCGTCCTCCTCGTCCCCTGTTTACTCCTCCCCGACTTCTCTGATCAAGGCAAATCGCCAGGGCAAAGTTGCTGGACGGGCTGGTGTGGATGCGCGGGGCTTGAAGAGGTCCTTGCGGGCTCAGACGGCATGCAAACATCCGCCGCCGCGTTTGTGCGACATTGGTTTGTTCAATGAACGTGGTTTGGGTCGCGGGTGGGTCGCGGGCTCTCCACCTCCACCTGGAAGGAATGCAAAAGCAGCCCGCCGCAGGCGCCAAAACAATTGGTTTGTACACTGAACGTGGTTTGGGTCGCGGGTGGGCCGCGGGTTCTCCACCGGGAACGAATGCAAACGATGCCCGCCGCACGCGCCGAAAAAAATGATTTGCACCCTGAACGTGGGCGCGGGTGGGCCGCGGGCTCTCCACTTGAAACGACTGCAAAAAATGCCCGCCGCAGGCGCCGAAAAATGTGGTTTGTACCCTGAACGTGGTTTGGGTCGCGGGTTGGTCGCAAGTTGGTCACGGGGGGGGGCGCGGGCTCTCCACCTGGAAGGAATGCAAAAAAACCCGCCGCAAGCGCCGAAAATTGTGGTTTGTACCTTGCACGTGGTTTGGGTCGAAGGTGGGTCGCGGGTGGGTCGCGGGGTGGGTCGCGGGTGGGTCGCGGGTGGATCGCGGGTGGGTCGCGGGTGGGTCGCGGGTGGGTCGCGGGTGGGTCGCGGGGTGGGCCGCGGGCGGGTCGCGTGGTGGGTCGCGGGTGGGTCGCGGGGTGGGTCGCGAAGTGGGTCGCGGGGTGGGTCGCGGGGTGGGTCGCGGGTGGGTAGCGGGTGGGTCGCGGGCGGGTCGCGGGATGGGTCGAGGGTTGGGCCGCGGGTTGGTCGCAGGGCGGCTTGCGGGTGGGACGACGACAACAAACAACAACAACAACAACAACAACAACAACAACAACAACAACAACAACAACAATCATTTTACCCGAACGCTCAGTGTTCTCCCCAGTGCCAGGGTTTTCTTGCGACACCAGCCAATACCCCCACTTCGTGGGGGGGCCGTTCAAGCTCTACCAAATATCCAAACGACTCTTCGAGACCACCCACACCCAGCTTCCCGCCCTATGACGTTGGGACACTTCACTTCGTGGCGTGCGGACGACCCTGGCTACTACACTGGCGTGGGGTACACACCCACAGAGGTTGATCACATCTGTTACATATGATGTGGTACACGGTACACGTGAGATGGTACGCAGTGCCAAGATAGTTGGTCACATTTTTGGGGCAAATTCGTGGGGATGCGATTACAGAAGTACATGTGTTACACTGATGTTATACAGTCCCAAGGATGACGCATGCATTGCTCATAGACTCATGGCGCTATGATCCTAACTCTCAGTGCCCAACGCGCGCGTGCACAGCCAGACGGAGGGAGAGAAACACATGTATACAAGGTTCGTGACATACGCACGGTCCACCATGTTGTAAACGATCGCATGCACGGTAAGTTCTGAAATTATACGTATGTACAAGCAGACATGCGAGGGAGAAAGGGAGATGGCCATCGACAGTTCCAATACGGCTCCAAGGCGGAAGAGGGGGAGGAGGAGCAGGACAAGGAGGAAAGGAGAGAAGCGAGAAAGGAAGAACGCAGACGGCGCGGCTCTGGACACAAAGGGGTGCCATCTTGCGCGCCTGTTGGGGCCATCTTGGGTTTTAAAGATTCATCAAGAGACCGCGAATGGATTTCGAGATTTTTCGGATGAGAAAGTAGTGCGTTTTCATATGTTTTCTGAACATCGCATCTTGAAATTATTGAAAACCCATTGTGTTTGGCAGGATTTCGACATGCGCGCGCGGCGGCCGCGCGCATGTGCACTTCGTCTCATTTTTTGCAAGGGATGGTGGCCCTCGCAGGCGCGCAACCGTTGTTGGAGAAGTTCAAAGCACCTGAAGAAGTAGCACGCAAAGACCCTTTTGACAGAAATGTTTAAAAAGTGGTGTGTTTCCTATGAATCCGCAAGAGCGCGCGGAAGGACATTTTGACAATTTTTTCTTAAAAAACCATTGGGTTTTTGATGTTTTTATGTTAAAATCGCTACGAAACCTAAGGTTTTGGAAGGATTTCGTCTTGCGAGCGCGAATGTCCACTTTACCTTATTTTTTGCAAGGGATTCTTGAAATTTGATCAACTAAGAACAAGAATTTTCATTTTCTATTGTTTTTTGCAAGGGAAAACGAGCGTCAACAAAAAACCGGATCCGGGGGTAATCCACTTTTCTGAAGCTTTCGCAGAAAAATGATGAAAATGTAGCTGCGGCCTAGGTTTTGGGCGGGGGGCGTGCACCAGGGGGTCCAACAATAATAATTCTTTAGAAGTAATAGTATTCAACAACAACAACACAACAACAACAACAACAACAACAACAGCAGCACAGCAGCAGCAGCAGCAACAACAACAACAACAACAACAATTACTAGCACGTGGGGACACTCCGTTCTCACCAGTGCCAGGGTTTTCATAGGAGGCGGGCAATACCCCCACTTTGTGGGGGGGCCGGTTCAAGCTCTACCAAATTTCCAAACGACTCTTCGCCACCACCCACACCCAGCTTCCCGCCCTATGACGTTCGGACACTTCACTTCGTGGCATGCGGACGACCGTGGCTACTATTCAGGGCCCCGCGGCCGACGACGACGGCGTGCGCGCGCGAAGAAAAAACGAATGTGTCCCGCATGGTATTATTTGACAGGGATGATGGCCCTGGCAGGTGCGCAACCGTTGTTGCAGAAGTTCGAAAAAGTTGCTCGCAAAAGCCCGTTTGACAGAAATGTTTAAAAAGTGTTGGGTTTCCTACGAATCCGCAAGAGCGCGCGGGATGAAATTTTGACATTTTTGTTTGAAAAACCATTGGTTTTTTGATGTTTTTATGTTAAAATCGCTACGAAAACTAAGGTTTTGGAAGGATTTCGTCTTGCGCGCGCGAATGTCCACTTAACCTCATTTTTTGCAAGGGGTTCTTGAAGTTTGGTTATGTTAGAACAAGAAATGTGCACTTTAGCTTATTTTTTGCAAGGGAAAACCGATCGTAACAACACAACCGGATCCGGACTCCCCCGTCTTGCCTGAGACTTCCTCACGAAAATGATGAAAATGAGGCTGCGGCCTAGGCGCGGCGGGGGGGTCGTGCACCAGGGGCCCCAACAATAATTATTCTTTAGAAGTAATAATGTTCAACAACAACATCAACAAACAACAACAACAAACAACAACAACAACACGAATCCGCCCGCGGAATTCCACTTCAGCCACGCACCCAGTGACAGTGAATGACCGTTCGGCCCCCTCACTCTGACTATTACGAGCGTTACTAGTAGTAATCGTGTTTCGCACTACGATGCGTACTGGAAATTAATAACATTGGTCGCATTAGTATTATCACCCGTCTTTCTATGTATCATTTTTCGTCGTGCTAGTTTTCGTGTGTTTCTTACAAGTATTCGCATTCCTGAGATTATGGTTGTCAGTAGATTCGTGTTGTCAATATTGCTGTTACTACTACGGCTATTGTCATGACAATTATTCCTCCTCCTCTTATTTTCCCCCGTTTTCCTCCTCATCCTCCTCCTTTCCATGTCTGTCTCCCTCGCGCACTGCGACGCGAAGAATCCAACGGTCATGCAGCCGGACAGTGCAAAAAAAAAAAAGACAAAGGCACAACAAAACGGCAACGAATAAGAAACGTAGACCGGGCAACCCGATCCACCACGGAAGTAATACGCAGCGGCATGTATTATTGGGGAAAGTCGAACCGATCGCTCCCAAGAGAAACTCGGAACATACCATACATTCTACCCATCGCGAGTCCAAAACACGATGCCTATATCGATATACGTTAAACCATATGGTT